AATGGCAGGAGGTCGTGCCCCCCCTGCAGCCCCCTGCCCGGGCTGGGGCGGCCTCGGGGACCCCGGAGCTGCCGGACCTGGCGCTGGGGGACAGCGCTGACGTCCCGGAGACCTGGCGCCGGCGCTTCCGGGACTTCCGCTACCGGGAAGGCGCGGGGCTGCGGGAGGTGTGCGGCCGGCTGCGGGAGCTGGCCCAGCGCTGGCTGGAGCCCCAGCGCCGCAGCAAGGAGCAGATGCTGGAGCTGGTGGTGCTGGAGCAGTTCCTGGCCATCCTGCCCCGGGAGACGCGGAGCTGGGAGTGGGGGCGCGGCGTGGAGACCTGCGCCCAGGCCGTGGCCCTGGCCGAGGGGCTTCAGCCGGGGCAGGCAGAGGATGAGAAGCTGCAGGTGAGACCGTTGTACCCCGATTGTCGATGCTGCCAGCCCTGGCTCCATGGGTCTGGGGGATGTTCCCTTCCATCCCATCTCTCCCAGTTTCTGGCTCCCTGGTGACACATTTTGCTCCTGCCCAGGTCACGGTGCACGTGAAGGTGGAGGGCGAAGCCTCAGACAAGATGGCACCGGCCAGGGCATTGTGGGAACCTCCTGACTCCTGCCTGGAGCTGCTGCAGCCACATCCCGTGCACGTGCCCCTGGAGGAGGAGGCAGGAGAGGGTGAAAGTCCGGGGCCCCTGAATGAGCCACCTTGCATCCTCAAAGAGGAGCCCCCACCACACGAGGACTCAGGTAACCTGCAGCATTCACAGCAGAGCCTGAGGCTTGGTACCTGGGGGTGTTTGGGGGTGACAGTGGACAAGCTGAATAGAAGCCAGCAGTGTGTCCTTGTTGCCAAGAAGGCTAATGGCATCCTGTGCTGCATGGGTAGGAGCGTTGCCAGATGGAGGGCAGTGATTCTTCCCCTCTATTCAGCACCTGGGAGGACACATCTGGAATCCCGTGTCCAGTTTTGGCCCCCCACTACAGAAGGGATGTGGGCACACTGGAGAGAGTCCAGCTGAAGGCAATGAAAATGGTTGGGTGGCTGGGGCACCTGACTGGTGAGGAGAGGCTGGGGGAACTGGGCTGATTTAATCTGCAGAAGAGAAGACTGGGGCGGGGGATTGAATAGAAGCAGCAAGGGAAATTGAGGTTAGATATTAGGAAAAACTCTCATGAGGAGGGTAGCAACGCATTGGCACAGGCTCCCCAGAGAGGTGGTGGAGTCTCCATCCTCAGAAGTTTTTAAGGCCCATCTAGACAAAGCCCTGGCTGAGATGACGAAGTTGGGGCTGGTCCTCCTTGGAGCAGGGGGTTGGATGACATGTGACCTCCTGAGGTCCCTTCCAACCCTTGTTTCCAATTACTCTGATTTCCAGCCCACAGGGTGAGGGTTTTGAATCTCTTCTCCTGCCAGGCTGTGGTATGACCACGACTTCGTTTCTCTCTGTGAGCTCTTTTGGTGCGACAAGACTTGACGGGGGTCATGGAGCAGTACCCAGTGCTAGGAGCCCCAATCTCTTCCACTGCATCACAGCAGTCCCAGCCCGAAGATCCTCCATCTGGGTCAGGACCTGTAGTTTTACCATACTGAGATCATTAGTCCCTGTCACCCCAACCGAGATCTCTGTGGCTATGCACAGGCCAGGGCCAGTGTTGAGGACATGGGCTTTCCCCTTGATTTTTTGCCTGGTTCCCATATACTGACCCTCAGCCTCTGTCCTGCTGCAGATTCCCCTGACACAGAGGACACCTGGGACTCATCAGAGGATGAAACCTGGCTCCCCAAACGAGGCCTGTCCTCAGATGCAGGTATGGAGCAGTGGCTCTGCCCTCTGCAGGAAGTTCCCCCATAGTGCTTCAGTGAGGACTGGTGCTCCAGCACGTCGGCTTGTCCTGTTCTCCCAGCGCGCCCCAGGAGGCTTCCCCGACCCTGAAGCGCACAGCCCTGTCCCTTCCTTCCCCTTCCCCTTATCCTATGGATCCTGCCGCAGCACCAGGATGCCTTGGGTGTCTCCCCGAGGAAGCAATGTCCCTGCAGACACATGCTGCTCTCACTCTGCTCAGGGCCTGAGTCCTAGAGGCTTACCTGCAGCTTTGTGGCTGTGGAGGTCCATGGGCAAGGGCTGTGGGCCTCTGACTCTGCCTTCTCTCTCCTCTCTTGTATCCGGAGAGGAGCCCGCCAGCACCAGGGAGCAGCGGGGCTTGCTTTTTTGGGGCTGACCCATGTATTGTCGTCGTCCCCTGGCAGGTTCAAGGACCCGGAGGAAAGCTGAGCCTCGCAAGGATGGGCCTGGAGCCCCAGAGCAGCTGAGGACTTCCTTGGGGAAACCATCCCCGAGACCTGAGCAGGGCCAGCTGCTTCTGCTGCATGCCCTGCCTCTCGCACCGAGTGGGACGGTGGTGGTAAGCAAGGTCCTGGCCCCAGCTTGGCCTGAGAACGGGGAGAGGACGGAGCCCCAACCATGCCAGGGACGGAAGGAGACAGTTACGGAGCTGGGGAAGCTTCCCCGGCAAGAAGGGCAGTGTCCAAACCCAGGGGGTGGAGAGGGCTTCGGGGAGAAGCAGGAGCCTGCCACAGCCACGTGGCGGGAGAGATCCTGGCCCGGCCTCGTGTGCGGGAAGTTCCTTGACCGCCAGACCCGTTTGGCCTTGCGTGCCCGAGCACATGCCGGGGACAAACCCAACAGCTGTGCCGACTGCGGAAAGAGTTTCGGGAGCCCCAGCAACCTGGCTGCCCACCACCAAGTCCACTCCAAGGCGCCCCAGTGCGCCAGGTGTGGGAAGAACTTCTCCAAGCGCTCGGCCCTGGCACGGTACCAGCACATCCACTCTGGGGAGAAGCCCCACTGGTGCGCTGACTGCGAGAAGAGCTTTGCCCGCCCAGACAAGCTGGAGAGCCACCGCAGCGGGCAGCTGAGCCCAAAGCGGCACCGGTGCACGGAGTGTGGGATGGACTTCGCACGTGGCCAGGACCTGGCACGGCACCAGCGCAGCCACACGGGGAAGAGCCCGTCCTGCCCAGGGCTGGCCCCATCTGGTCCCCTGCCTCGCAGTGGGGAGACCATTTCTGAATATCCTGTCTGAGGTCCCAGTCTTCAGCTGCTTCGCTGCAGTTACAAACCGCTGGAGCCAGCCCAGACACGGCTGGTTTCTTTCTCATTGGCTCAGGTGACGATACCTGGAGGTCTTGTAAACCCCAGCATGGGGACAGAAGGCAGTGGAGCAGCACAGGGTGTGTGGGAAAGATCCCTTCCCCTTTCCTCCCCTTTCTTTTCCCTCTTTCCTACCCTCCCCTTTCTTCCCCTGGAAGTTTGTACCTTCCAGACCAATATAACTGTCGAGATGCAAAGCATGGGCCCTTCCTATCTCACCCACCACTCCCCATTAAAGGCCCTGCCTGCACCGCCCCCTAGCCCATCCTGGCCCTGGCAGCACCCCCTCAGGGGAGAAACTGCGCTGAGCAGGGGCAGAGCTCCCTGAGGGCCTCAGCATGGGCTAGTGCTGGCACAGCCGCTCATCCCAGGATCTGTCCTGGTTGTGGGCAAGGTTGTGGCCCATGTCGACCCTCGGCAGGTGCAAGAGGAGCATCACACTGCTGTGCATCTCCTGAGGCCCCCCAAGACTGGCTGCGGGGACAGGGGGGTCTCTCCCCATCTCAACAGATATGCAGGGGTGAATTTTCAGCCAGGGCCAAAGGTAATGAGGGCCTCTTCTGACACTGATTCAAAGCCGAGAGGAGGGTGTGTTGCAGAAGTAAATGCGTTCATTTATTTTCAGGGGTTTGGGTGAGGTTGAACAGGAGCACGTGCATGCATGTGAATCGAAGCTGGTCTATGCTGGAACAGGATGCGGCCATGTGCAACAATGCATCCAGCTTCATGTGCCCCAAAGAGGAGGCAGGGGTTGGGAACATGGGGAAGCCCAACCAAGGCCCTGCAGGCCTCCCCTTCCTCCCAGGCCTGTGGAGCAGGGGCATTTCCAGCTGGGAGGCATAAAGCTGTGACCTGCTCCCTTTTCATTTCTGCCTCTGTGGTTTGGTCTCCTGGTACCCAACGCACTGCTGAGCCAGGGGGAGAAATGCTACACGCCCTTCGGTTGGTGCCTCCTCCATGGCTGGTCCTGTAGCCAATCTGGGCAGTTTTCTGTCCTGGCTGGCGTGTTTGGTACCCAAACGTCTGGGGTCCAGGGCACTGACACCCCCTTGTCTGCCTCTATCTTATTGCCCCCACCTGAGCAGAGGCTGGGTCTCAGGGGGGTTGGCCTGGGGTTTTCTTCTCAAGGAACTAGCAGGGGGTCAGTCTCTGGGATCCCCCCAAGCCTGAGCCCTGGTGCATCCCAATATGCTGGACATGGCAAAAGGGCAGGCAACGGGCCTCCAGCAGAGACCGGAGCTCAGACACCAGCTGGAGGCTGCAGTAGAGCAGTGGGCTTGGCAGCTCATGGCTGCAGTTGCTGTGGTTGGGCATCGTTTGCAGGGCAGGGATCAGTTCCCGCCCTTCCAGGACTGGGACCCCAGGGGGAGATGGGTCTTGACCCCGGCACTTTGGGGTTCATGATACAAGCCCCCAGCCCTGCACTGGATTGCACCCTAGTGGGGAAGGGCCACAGACACCTTTTGCTGTCACTGCTGGGGGGGGGGGATGATATTTAAGGGCTAGTGAGCTTGACTCTGCTCTGTGCTTAGTGTCGGGGAGCCATGGGCTGGGGCCACAGCACTCCCCACAGCCCTGCTGCTGGGCAGCGAGCGTGCAGGGATGCTAGTGCTCAGCTTCCCCCTGGGGTGTTAGCAGAACTGGGCCTGGCACCGCGGGCACCCCACCATGGGCAGCGCCCATTACCGTGTGTGACCAGGGCAGCGCAGGCCCACAGTGACAGTTGGCCATGAATGGATGATTGGGTGGCGGGGGGCGTTGCTGGATCTCTGGGGTGTCTGAGCTGCAAAAGACAGTGGGGAGGCCATGCCTGGGTGGGGGTCCACCTGAGCCAGTGCCAGGGCCAAGTCTCCCTGACCCCTGCTATCCCTGCCCAGCCCCACTACCTGCAGATGCCCTACCCCCCTGATCCCAGAAGCGCCCAAACCCTTCAGAGCCCACCCTGAACCTGACACCCCAGCCTACCCCACGGCTTGGCCACCTCTGCCTGGCCCCGCTATGGCCGTGCCAGTTCTTCTCACTCCCAACCTGCAGCCCTTCCTCTCTGCCAGTGCCCCTCACTCCCGATCTCTAGTCCCAGGTTGCACAAAGACACCTGTTGCTTTCCAGCCCAGCCCTCCACCTCCCTTCATAGAAGTCGGGTCGGAAGGGACCTTGCAGATCTTCAGGTCCGACCCCCTGCCTGGGCAGGAGGAAAACTGGGCTCAAATGACCCCAGCCAGGTAGGCATCGAGCCGCTTCTTAAAGACCCCCAGGGTAGGAGCCAGCACCACTTCCCTTGGAAGTTGGTTCCAGATCCTAGCCGCCCTCACTGTGAAGTACTTCTTACAGATGCTTTGCTGGCCCTGTCCCTGGATCCAGCCCGGCCCGAGGGAGGAGTGGGGTGCGCAGAGCCCGGGCATCTGAAAAACAGACATGAACACGTGCACAAACACCTGCCACAGGCCTTAGGGGAACCTTCCCAGGGAACAACCGGCTGAGAACAGACGTGGCTGTGACACCTCCAAGCTCCCCATCTGCCCCGGCCCCAGCTGCTCCCCACTGTCCCCAGCCCCCCTCCTCTCCTCTGGGCCCAGTCCCGCAGCTGGGCAGGGGGCTCATCCTCAGCTGGACTCCAGCCCCTTGGCTCGGGGCCTGCCCCAGTTATTCCTGTTGCCGGAGGGGCTGGGCTGGTGGGGGGGAAGGATATGCCCCCTCCCCTCGTCCCCCTGCCCCATCTTGGAACCACATCACACGGGACTGCTGGGCCTGCAGCCTCCCACCCCTCCCAAAACTTCCTGACCACCTCCTGAGCCCAGTTCACCCCTGGGCCCCAAAGCAGCTAGACCTGGGCACCCTCCTTGCAGAGCCTGTAGGAAGGGGATGCCCCCACGTTGCCTGGCCCTGGTGCTGATCCGATGCAAAACCAGTCCCTGGTGCAAGGCCAAGAGCTCTTGGGGTCTGGGTGGAGCAGGCGCTGGCAGCCCGGGCACCTGGGCTCTACCTCTGTGGTGCGGGAGAAGCGGGTGCGATGAGTCAGACACCAGCAGGCCCAGACTCAGGGGTCCTTCACCCTTTCTCTCTTGAGTCCTTTCTGCTGTCACCAGTCCAGTCTCTTCCTCTAAATCCTGTGCATCTCAGCCATAAAGGATCAAGAAACCCAGGGCCCTTTGGCCCACGCACTACGCCGAGTG